CTCGCAACGAAACTAAGAAAAAAAGACCAAAAGCTCATGTTGGCAACGAAAGAAAGAGAGTTTGAAGCTATCATCATCACACTTTAAGCAACGAGGAATGGTAGAACAGTGAGCATGAAGTTCTCGTAATTGAAAGTAGCTGATCCTGATAACGCCGTATCCTTCTCCTTAAACTTCTCAGTCAGCCCCTGCAAATTATTTTACCAAACATGATGATTCAAAACACACATTCTACATATCGTAAAGGAACGAACAAGCTTTGTAATGTTAGAATTCGGTTTCAAGTGTCTTGAGAATGTGATGATTCCAAGCAATGAAGCTAGCGTACCTTTACAGTCAAACAGCACCTGCATCACTCGAAAAACCATAATCAGTACTTTTTACAGAGGAAGGAAAAAAAGGAAAAGCTAGGGGGATGAATCCTACTCGATGAAATTGTCATATTCGATAGCCCGATTCCTGCCTCCGGTTTTGTCGTATTTTGAAACGAGCAGATCCAAAACCACAGGAGAAACTGAGAATCCAAGGCTCAAAAGTGCATCTCTCAGCTCGTTTGTATCTATCCTGCCGCTTCTGTCCTTATCAAACCTCTCAAAGATGGACTAAAATAACCAAATCCAAAACCCACATGAGTTAACTACTCCAAGATTCTTGATATGTCAAATCAATCAATAATTTTCATCAAAACCATTAGATAACTTACCCTCCAACTCTGAAGACTAAAGAAAAGAGAAGTAAACTCTTTTGGTCCTGCAATGTGGAATTCTTAAATCAGCATATACTCAAAACCAGACTAGCATGAGAAGCATTAAAAGATGATTATTTTTATATAGTTTCAAGTTGAATTAAATTAATGTAAACTAAGGATTTGGTATGATGGAGAGGTTGGGTGGTGGTACCAACGATCAAAGTCAAACCCCACAATTTGCAGAGGAAAATTCTACAATTTGCAAGTGACAAAGTTCAAACCTAGATGATGAAACTAAGACAGACAATGGAACCTAATAGCAATTTCACTATGACCAAGATTCAGTGAAAGAAGAGACTATATAATCATGGGAATTTTCTTGATGAAAGTAAGGCAATGCAACCTAATAGAAACCTCAATTTTACTATGATCAAGAATTAGTGAAAGAAGAGACTAGAATCAAAGGAGAATTTCTGACCAATTTGAAGGATTAAGAAACTCACCGATCTTCCTGACGTTGCTGTTGGTGAAGAGGTACATAAGTAGGTGAACAGTTCTTAAGCTGAAACTCTGATTGTACGAAGAGAGAGCCCCTTGAAGCTCCTTGTCGTCGATGAAACCACTACCGTCCCGATCCGCGGCCTGGAAGCAAGCCACGATGTTCGGATCCGTACCGGGAGGAAACGCCGACGGTACAAGAGACGCAAACGGGCTTCCAAAAGAACCCTGAGTATGAGGAGGAGGAGGAGCTCCGTAACCTCCGTGTCCCGACTGCGATCCGTAACCACCGTACTCCGAAGATCCAGACGGTGGATGAGCACCGTAACCACCGGGAGATCCGTAAGCAGCGTGAGGTTTGTTGTCTTTATGTGGCTTGTAGTCTCCTGGAGAAGACGCGTACGGAGCAGACGGTGGTGCACCGTAAGGTGCGGAGGACGGTGGAGGCTGCGATCCGTACGGAACAGCGTACGGTGAAGCAGCTGAGGATCCGTACGGTGGAGGATTGTTACCGGTGGATCCATACGGTGAAGGATTACTGCCGGATGATCCGTAAGGCTGAGGCGGTGGTGGATTTCCGCCGTAACCGTAACCTTGACTCGATGGAGGATAACCAGACATGGCGAAAAAAAGCTTTCAGAGAGAGAGATCAAAGAAGTGGAGAATTGTTATGCGAAATTTGAGAAATTGGATGATAGTATTTATTAGCTACGTCAGATATACATAAAAGATATTTGGGGTTCGGATTCGAGATATTTACGGGAAGAACCAATTGGTTTTGTACGCGTTGAAGGGGTGTAATCGTAATTGTCAGCACGGTTTACACATGCGTGACGAGTCAATTTTTGTTGCTGACGTGTACGTTCTTCGAAACGTCGTCGTCCCAATCAGCTTTCTCAGCGGGGCCCTGTCTAATTTATATAGCAGAACAACGAATTGGTTCGAAGCTAAGAGCATCCGCATTGGAGACAAATATGGATGTCTTTAAATATAAAATTATTAAAATTTGAGTAAAAGGAAGAAAGAGAATGTTTTTGGTTGAAAATAGGGTGTATTAAAATATAAAATTAATAAAATTTGAGTAAAGAGAGAAGATAGTGGATATTGTTGGAGAGATTATGTCTTTAGGAAGACATAAATAGTGACTTTTGGAGAGAGAATATGGGTGTGTTTAAATATAAAATTAATAAAAGTTGATTAAAAGAATGAAAGAGAAGGTATAAAGTTGAGTAAAAGAAAGAGAGAGTGTGTTTTTAATATTTGTTTATTTAAAGACATCCACAAAAGATGACGAATGCGGATGGTCTAAGGTGCATGGAAACTCCATGGTTCGTTTCCCGTTTCGTAAATGTTTTGAAAATGAAAACGCGGGAAAACACGTTTTTTAAATATTCAAATTTGAAAACGTTTTGGAAACGCGGCCGGAAACATGTTTCCAAAATTGGAAATGCGACTTTTGGTTTTGGAAACAAATTGAATAAATACTTTGAAAATATATATATTTGTTTGTCGTTTTTAATAAGTTTTAAAATCTAATTATTATACACTAATACAATCTTTTTTCTTTAATCATCATCGTAACCTAAAAAAGTAGAAGAATCGAAGAGATAAACAAAGTATTTTTTCCAAGATTTGTTATCGATTATTGAAATCATGAAGTCGTTAAATAAACGAG